TGAGCAACCTCTTTCCACTCCTCTCTAAATCGAGGAGCCCTAAATGACAAAAAAAGGAAGGAAGAATCTCGGTGAAAGCTATGGAGTACTGTTTGTAGTGCACGGGGTGAAATGCAAAGTTGGAATTCTTTGTTTAGCTTTGCGTGAGGTCGTGTGATGATAAACTTCAGCATGAAAATATTTATGAATTCGGTGAAAGGGGGAGGAAAACAAAGCCCTAATAACACATCACGTTGTTCCTTTTGGCAGCCAAATTCCTCCAAAAGTGTTGAGCAAGCGCGACGCCAGAGACAACGAGTTAGTGCTGTACGAGGCTTCCGCCCACATGTTGACTCCTCATGCGCTGACCTCGATTACAATAAGAACAGAGTGGAACCTCTGAGATACAACACATCTCATTTCAGGATGCTGGTCGACCTCTCATTTGTTTGGCTTTTCAAGTTGCTTTTTCCTCATATAAAATAATGTTTAAAAAAAAAGGGTAAGTGTTAGACGAGGCATAGCACGCAATTTTAAAGTTTTTTTTTTGATTATGCGCCATGGTAGTATGAAGATAAAAAAAACAAAAAACCTGCGCAGAATCAGATCACCTTAAGATTGGAATCAAGGCTCCAAGCGTACTATCTGACTAAGTAAGATAGACATTTACACTGCGAGTGCAGTGTAAATGCAGATTGGCTAAACAAAACAAAACAAAAAAACTTGTAAATTTCAACTCCTGCAAGAGCAAATAAATCTGGTTTTGTAAAGCTTACAGATATAGAGAGCACAAATGATTTTTTTAAAATGGTTCTACCCCTCCTCAGACATTTAAACTTTTTAAAACACAATTTTTAAACTCACAATTTACTGCAAGCACAATATATATAAAAATAAATACTTTCCATATGTTTGTGTCTGTGCATATTACAATGCCATCTAATACATCTTTATGTACATGCATGTGCTTTAAATAGGTGGGACCTGGTGGGATGCATGTGACGCCATTGAATTGGTGTGTGAGATTTTGTGCGTGCTCGTTGTCTTTGTGTTGAACTATTCTACCTCCATTCAATAAAGAGCTGAAAAGTGCATCTGCAACAGGCTCTCGCAAAAAGGACGCAAAGATAAACCCAGACCAAAGAGGTCATAAAACTGAAACTGTATCGGAAAATGATGAATCCAACACCATGAAGGTAACCGCGGGCCACTTTCATCATTAACATAACACTTTGTGTTAGGAATGTGTTCCTCATGCTGCAGGTCAAAAAATGTCAAGTGCTCAGAGGTCAAACTCATTCATTCTTGGAGGAGTGCACTCCAATGACAGCGCCGCTCGCTGCTGTGTGCGCTTCTGTTGCCCGTGCACACGTCGACAGCCTTAGTGTCTAATTGGGCCTGCTGAAAATCATTACATTTGATCCAAACGATTGGTCACAAGGACGGCGAGAAGACATTTGCTTCATGAAGGACTGCTGCTGATTGTCCACCGTTAATAGGGGAGGTGTTCGCAGGTAGCAGGAACAGATGCTTGAGATTGCTTCCAGGCTCAGATATTTCTCCTTTGAAGATGGATGCTTCTCCCCTTTATTTATTTATTTATTTATTTTTTACTCGTCAGCAGGCTGTCCTCCTTCCAACTGCACTGTTAATGGGCAATCAGATGATGTAGTTTCGTCATCAAATGGTTAATTTAGTGGTTTCTGTGGTGGAAATTGGGTCATGCTATTTACTACGGTCATTATTCCATTCTTTGGGTTGACTGTTTTCCCACTAGTCGTATTATAGTTAATGAAAACTAATGTAAATGTAAAGAAAGAAAACTAACTCAAACTGTATCTTACACTTATGAAACTAACTATGATTATAGCAAAACTTTCCTTCGTTTTCATTTGAGTGATTTAATATCATACATGAGCTTTAGGGGTTCATTTTAAAGGTATTCATTGTGATATCGTGGCACGGTTGTACAGATGAAGGAAGGTCAAAAATTCATTTGAGGATTGTAGTTTAGTTTATTAAACAATACTTAGTGACTTTGTTTTTCATCTTTTAGTCAACAAATACTCCATATATTCAAAAAAACAAAAACTAATATTCGAACTAATAAAAACTCAATTAAAACAAAGCATTTTTGAAATCTGAAAAATAAAAAGTAACAAACCTGTTCTCAAAACAAATTAATACTAAGTGAATATCAAAATAAAATGAAAAAAAACTAACTAACTAGAAAAACCCAGAACTATTATAACCCTGGCTCCCACCCGTGTGCTTCCGCCATTTTGAGACTAGTGCAGCGCGATGAACACACCGCATTTAAAGGGATGAAGGGTGTTGCTTTGATTGGCTATGATTGTAGTTGGCTGTGCCCTCCCTCACAGCAGCGCAGCCCTCGCCCTGGCAGAACCTGTGCTTCCAAATTACCCGCCTGCGTGCAGAGATATTCCATGCACTGCACGGGCTTTATGCCAGTCACAAAAATAGTCCTTGGTGCTTCCAGTGTTGATTACATTATGTAAAACATTTTATTTTATTTTATGAAAAATTGATTGCACATTTCTCTCATTAACGCCCCCATTCTCTCACCTACTTCAAAACCTGAAATAAAAACAACATGCGTTTACCAAGACTCTGAATGCAAAACCCCAACGGCATAGCTGTTGGGGGGAAATTCTCACTCAGTGGATTGGCACCAAGATTATCTTTCCAACATAAGCAGGAAACCAAATCTATGAGCCACATCAACAGGAAATTAAAAGGAACATCAGTGTATACAAACTCTGAGGAAACTGCAGCCAATCTAAAGTCCTTTGGGCAGCAAACATCAACAGTGACATAACTTGTGTGATATTTGAGGACATCCTGACAGCCAAACATACTCACAGCATGTCCAGCGTGTGGATAAACAAGCTCTCCAACAACAGCGGCAGTCTCTCAGCAAATAAGAGCTTTTGGGATATTTCAAAGGGGAAAGATGATTTGAGAGACAGAGGAAAGCTATTTCATACAATTCTTGTGTCATCTGCGTATGTCGTTGAATTGTTCGGGCGTTCCTCCAAGAGTTGCCTTCTAGTCATCGTTATGACACCGATGTCGTAGTCTCTTTTTCTTACATTCCTTGAAGGTGACTGAATTTTGAAACGCACGTCAGCACCAATTCCCACCGGAATCTTCTATTTAAGCGAGGGAGCTACAACACACTTTTACACACGATGTGCTCATAAATTCCGCCGCTACATTTTTCAATCATTGCATCACTACATCTGCGGCTGCTGCGGGTGCAAGATGAATCACAGTGCAGATGAGACGGGCGACGCATATCGAATCTCTTCGTCTGGCTGACACGTGATGAAAATCAATGTCGTGCAATATGAACAAATATGGCGAGAAGAATTGAACGTATGGGACACAAAAGGATGACATAAGATGACCATTTCTGACTCTGGGGTGAGGTCAACTGCTTGAAATGGCAAAAGTCCAAAGAAAATTGTGCTAGCATGCTGTGCTCTGCTTCATGGACGATGGCGAAAACCTTGAAAGTGAAAGAAGTTCAAAGTGTTCTTTGTAATAGTGTGTTCCTCCTATCGTCTCACATACTGATTAATATTGCATTGGTGAAATAAGAATTGATGAGATGAATTACCACACTTTGAACGTTCAAAGGGCGCAGCCATTTTGGCATTATACTGCCCTCTGCTGTCAACTGAAATTGACGTCCAAGTGCTCGCCATTCGCATTGCAAATATCACAACTCACCCGTTTCCAGGTTTGGTCACGTGACAATCGCAATGCGGGCCCGAGGGCACTCAGACAACAGTAGAGGGCAGTAGATTGGCTACCCCCGTACTGAAAAGCAAATTTTAAACTTGACTTCCAGACATTTAAAAGAAGAAGGAAAAAAGGAAACCGCATTCTTTACTGCAACAAATAGAAAACAAATTTTGCCAAAACAGTGCTGCTCTGATTGCAGCAAATCTTGTTATTGTGTCTCCAGTGCAACGTTCCATATTGTTGTGTTGCATGCAAATGATCGTCGATGTATTTATCTATAGTTTTGCTCTTTTGGGTGAGCGCACGTGGCTGCTGGGTGATGGGACCAGGAGGACTCACCACATTTTTTCCGGGGTTTGGTGGGTCACGTGGGGCCTCTCCACTGTTGGTTTGGCTTTTCGCCCTTGCTTGGCTCGCTCCTGTCTCTTCACTTTCAGAGGGAGCAGCACACAGCACCCAGCGGTGCTTCGCCGGCCAGGAAGCTCCCAGCTCCACCACCTCCAAGGAAACATTTGGATCGAGAGCAATTTAAGCCCTAATTGAAATCCTCTTTTATGGAACTTGCTTTATTGCTGGCTTGTGGCAGAATGCTGTGTGCAGCGTGTATTTCACTTTCCTTAATCACACAGGACTGTCCTTTGTTTGGAGCGGATGAATTAACCTCTTGCTGTGCTAGCTGCATATTTGCGTGACTCTTTTCTATAAATGTCAAGGCAACTCGAGTTTCACTCTGCATGCTGATACAAATAAATACGTGTCATTTGTGTTCCAGCGCCAAATGCCTTCCGACTCAAATTATATGTCAGCGCGCAGACCGCCAAAGCCTTCTCGGAAGTTCAAACTGGGGTGTGAGTGACTCAATTCATGCAACACATAGTGAAAATGACCTGTAATTACACAGGGCAAAATCGATGACAGAGCATCAACAAAACCTTCATTTAGCACTAATATATTGTTTTTTTGGGGGGCGGGGGAGGAAAACCATACATAATAAACAAATCAACAACTCATCCTATAGTGCAAAGTACATAATACGGTTTCACTCAGAAGTAGCAGAAAGTACACACAATAATAAGACAACAATAAATGTTTATATATATATATATATATATATATATATATATATATATGTGTGTGTGTGTGTGTGTGTCATGTTCTCCTCGGGCCTGCGTGGGTTTTCTCCGGGGGCTCCGGTTTCCTCCCACATCCCACATGCATGGCAGGCTGATTGACCACTCAAAATTGTCCCTAGGTATGAGTGTGAGCGTGGATGGTTGTTCGTCTATGTGTGCCTTGCGTTTGGCTGGCAACCAGTTCATGGTGTCCCCCGTCTCCTGCCCAAATACGGCTGGGATAGCTCTCCAGCATGCCCCGCGACCCTTGCGAAGATAAGCGGATCAGATGGGTGCAACTCTGCACCAGAGGATGGTTCGACCAATGTATTTTCGTGGAGGAGCGCAGTCTGGCGGATGTTCAGGTGGGTGGCCTGCGCCACTATCGGAGTGTTTTTCAGCCGACTCAACTGTAAGTCGCCACCAATCAAGGCGACTAATCTTTCCCTTTAATGTAGCGACTGAGAGTCTTGAGCGAGACATCTCTGTGTAGAAGAGGATAATGTGTAATCGCAGTTGAGGTTTGGGGGGCAGGCGCCGTGTCTCCAGACAAAATATTTGTAAGTCTATTCAATACAGGCGGGTGTCATATCATTTGAATGTTTTTCTTTTTCCTATTTGTAATTTGGTCTACTTTGGTAATTCTTCTTCATCTACATCTTCAACAAAGATTACACAAAGATTTCAAAATAATAAAGTTTAAAAGGTCACACAGCAGAAAGCGCACAGTCACTTTTCTGGGGGATAATGAACGCAAATGCCCCCCCCCACCCTCCATGACACTGCAAACCCCGCTGAAGACAACCTATGTGGAAAAAGGATGGATCTACATTTATTTATCTCTCTGCCGCACTTTGAATAGGGCTGAATTGGACAGCTTCCGATCCAAAGCATCCCACATCTTGTGTCAAATATGATGTTGGCAGTTGCTACATGGCATGGGTGTGTAAGACTAAGCTCTTTTTTTTTTTTTTTTTTTTTTACATACTTGGCTGCAGTGTCTGTATAAGCACTTCTTTGGAGTGCCCTCAAATTTTTACGAAGCTGCAAGACAAAAATGGGAGAAAATGTGATTTAGATTCACCAAAGACTCAAGTAACCACTGTAGTAATGAATCCGAAATTGTGCAATTCTAAATTTGCCTCACACCCAAACCAGTGATTTCATTTCTACTTTGCATTTCTTGACAAAGGAGAGATGATTGCAGCCAGGCAGAATTTCCTCCCTCTGGTGACACCAGTGAAGCCCCAAATCAAGACAGTGACCTCGTCTCGTGGGCGCCGACACGTATAATTCGCTTGGTAATCAGTTGAGCAAATAACAAATGAAAGCCCAGAGCGAGTGTTCAGTCAGTGTCTTGTCGTTGTGGAGGCTGGCCAGCAATCGCCGGGGTTGTGATCTTTTTACCACTGGGAGTCCAAAGTCAACATTCCAAACAACCCCCAGCTTGGGGAATGCTTTGCTCGGGTGAAAGTGAGAGGAAACGGAGAGAATGCGCACATGAGAGTCGAGCTCTGAAGGCCTTGCCCACATGCAGAGTCGTTCCACTAGGTGGGTATCGTCCTTCAAAATGAACTCTAATGAAGCAAATGATGGTCTGCTGAGTAGAAGTGGAGGTGGTGATTAATCAGAGCTCTTGCTTATTTCCTCTTTCTGCTCCTTGTGTGGAAAATGTCACGAACAATGTGGTGAGTGCACTTTTGCGATCCACCTGACCCGTTCGCTGGCGTCACACCTTCATCCAAATGTATGTTGATTGAAAAAAAAGAAGGAAGGGGAATGAAATGGAGGCTTAAAGATCCAATCTTTTAATTAGATGGAGAGAATTTAAAGGCCTCTCTTGGGCTGTGGATTTTTTTTTCCCCTCCCTTCTTTTTCCAACCGGTGTCACTCTTCTCCTGTGGTTGACTTCCTGGCAGTGTGGACCATGATGTAATTGTGGAAAGGTTCCACTTGTGATTCAGTGAGGAATTTTACATCTGGCCGAGGTTGGCTCGTTCCCGATCCCAAAATAAAGCTTCAGGAGTACAGAGGGAGAATGAGAAGGCAAATGAAATAAATGTATTCCCGAGTGATATCGCAGCTGTGATAGTCATTGCTAATCCCTGTCAAATGTACGCAGACCATTTTACAGTGTTGTTTACAGCAAGCGCCAACATGAAGAAAACAGGTTGAGTGTGAAGTACATCCTGCATTAATGCGGGTGAGTATTATGTAGATTTGATTTGAGGATTATGAAATTATTCTTTCCCGTTTGATTTTTAGAGATAGGCAGCACTTTTCAAAGTGTGCCAGAGAGAGATAAAAAGAGCAATCCCTTTATTTTCGATAGCACAAGTCCTCATTAAGGTCAGCCGAGCCCATCTGACTTTGGAATGGACTAAATGGCCAACCGAATGCAGGGGCACATTTAAACACACAATGAGCAACTTAAAGTCTTAAATGCTTAATTTTGAAATGAGCAGTTTACACAGTCTATCCATTCATCCAGCCTGCCATTATCTGAACCACTTCCTCCTCATGAGGGTCGTGGGCCTGCTGGAACGTAACCCAGCAGTTTTTAGGCAGGAGGCGGGGTACAACTGAACTGGTTGCCAGGCAATCGCAGGGCACACAGAGACAAACTACCATTCACACTCACAATCACACCTCGGGACAATTTGGAGTGTTCAATGAGTCTGCCACACATGTTTATGGAATGTGGTAGGAAACCAGAGTACTCAGAGAAAACCCAGGCAGGCACTAGAAAAACATGCAAACTCCACACACATGAAGTCCAGAGAATCAAACCCCATACTTCTGCACTGTGAGATGGGCATTCTATAGCCGATCACCATGCCGCTCTATCTATCTATCTATCTATCTATCTATCGAGAGAGAGAGAGAGAGAGAGAGAGACAGAGACAGAGACAGAGACAGAGACAGAGAGCGAGAGGGAGATCACCTCAGCACAGAATTTTGCAGTATGCACAGTATGTAGTGATGTATTTATTATTTTGGTGTCAAAACCAACTGTGATATGATCAGTAAGTCTCTGACTTGAATTTCCCCATGGGCCTCACAAGGAGTTTTTTGCATTTGGGGTTATCTGAGGCTATATATATTTTAGTAAGGCTATACAGTAAATGTGAAATAGCTGTAAGACCATTTAAGTGTGAATATTGGAAATGTTTGGTGAACTCTGACCATCACAAAAAGTAAAATCTGCAATACATAAATATGCTATTTAAATTTAAAATATTCTTTAGGCATGGTTTTACAGCTTTTATGGCACTTTTTTTCAAGGGTCTTTAGACACACAAGTATTATAAACACATACAGTAATACTCTTTTGAAAGCAAGAGATGGATAACATAAATATTGTACAATGTAACATCTACCAAATTCTCTATGTGTTTACAGTAAACAGTTTTTGTTTCCAAACTAACAAACTTATCATCTCACAATATACATCAATATTCAGGCCCAAAGATGTACCGCCCCCTCCCAAACTAACAAATTTATCACAATTTAACCCAAATATCATCAAGTCAATTCAAGTCCAACTTTATTGTCAAATGTGCAACATACAACACAGATGAAATTTCTTCCCTCTCAAACAGACAACAAGACAACAAGAGGAGCCGCTGCGGGTGCCCGCGCCGCCAGCAAAAGAACAGTTAACATAAACTGACAAAAAAATACAACACAACACATAAGACACAGAGACAGTCGTGCAATCTTAACCACTTTTCCTGCAAGCACTTTGTTGTTTGAAGCAGTTATAGATGAAAGAGGAGCAAATCAAAGTGTCCTTTAAACCAGTGGATCAAAGACGTCATGCTCAAAATGTGCACACGTCTGCTACAAGCGAAGTTTGAAAGCAAAATGAAGCTGTAGCGTCCATTAACGAAAAGAGATTGGCTCTCATCTCCTGTCCCATGTAAATCCGCTTCAATTCCAAACCGTGTGCAAATATGTACATTAATGAATTAACCTCCAGCCGTTGCATTCTTTAGTTTTAAAAAGCAGGATTACAGAGGATTTTCAGCAAAAACTTGGCTGTGACGATAACTTCCTGCTATCCTTTCAAATTCACACCATCTCAAAGCAAATTGTGTGCTGTTATCCATTGGTCATGAGTAGGATTAGACCCCCGAATAGGCGAGCGTCAGACCAAAAAAATCGAATTATCTGTTTTCGCAGCTCATCAGTGTCACCGCACCATCTCCAACATGAATAACTATCATACAACACTGAAGTGTGTGCTGTGGAGCTATAATGGGGCTTCACTCTCCCACTCTTTGGAAAGCTTAATTAATTTACAGTCTGTTCGATGATCTTCTGACTATGGAGTGACTCATTTCCAATAAATGTTTATCTCAAGTGAATTATGGCCATGGCTATGTATATTTTAGCATAGTTGAGGGTGTCCATCTGTGCTCAATATTATATGGCATCCCACTCACGAGGAAACAACCAGTGCAGGTTTAGGAGAGCACTAGAATTCAGTTAGTGACTTTTAATGTGCTCCCGGGCCATTTCTGTGGCACGAATTCACTCTGTGACGATTTTATTACCTCATTTTCAGGGGCGCTGTATAGCCTCGCTTCTAAGCTGTTTATGTCTACTGAAGATAAAAGAAAATCATTGCTTTATTACACAGATGGAGAGGGTCTGTTTACAGAGCAGACCCGCATCGAATAACTGAACTGCCTTATTGCCTATAAGCTGTCCCATGTGTAAAATAGCATTTTCCATCTAACCCCGGTGTTGGCGACGGTATTTCATTTCCAGATAACGTTGCGTCTTGCTTGGCTTCTTGTTAACATTGCAGCGCAGATGTGTGGTGTTCTCTAACTGCATTGGAGGAACATCATGAGCGCCATTCAAGCAGATCTGCTGAAGCACAGTGGATGATGAGGAAAATGCCCTCTCATGACTGCCGAACCATCTCGCCTTGAAACAAGGTGTAAAAGACGGCCTGCAGCGACACCTGGTGGTAAACTAACGGATTAACACATTGACATCCACAAGAATCGGATACATCCATCCATCATCCGAAACGTTTACTGTATTCCTTGAGCTGGAGCTCAGGTTCTTATCAGAACCAAGAGATCATAACATATAGCTCTAAAGACTACACTGGCTCTTACACTGTTTAAAAAAAAATTTAAAAAGTTGAGTGACCCCAAAGCCATAAGATAATAACAATTTTAAATTGTGCAACGACACGAAACTTTTTAATTAGAATATTGTTGCCATAAGTGTCAAATTGTCAAAAGTTTATTTTTCTCAATTTTTTTCTTTTGTTCCAACTTAAGTTACTATAATTTGGTTTTGTTTTTGTTTTTTTACAGTCAACTCAACTGTATTTTTAGAGCACTTTAAAACAACAGTGCATGCAGTCAGCTGTACAACACATTTTAAAATGATGACACTGGTCTATAAATCAGTGAATGGAGAAGGTCCTGAATGCATTACAGAAAGGCTCATGAAATATAAACACACAGGGATACTTAAGTCAGGTCTCAGGTCAATTAGTGGAGCCCAGTATTCAAAGCAAACATTATGCATCCACATTTAGCTATTTTGCTGGATGCAAATGTAATAAACTGTCAACACAAATGAAGTTAGCCCAAAGTGTGAATAATTTTAAATCCAGGTTAAAAAAGGTGCTCCCCCCACCCTCCTCCTATACCCATGATTAAGATCTTTTGTAGCATTTGTTAGTAATTTTAACAAACTACATTTGTTTTCTTTTAAATGTCTTTTCTTTAATTATTTCCGTTTTTAAATGTTTAAAATTATTTTACCTTTAAATGTTTGGCTACTGCCCGAAGTCAGCTGGGATAGGCTCCAGCACGCCCGAGACCCTCGTGATGAGCAGATGTTGTTTGGTCACAATGTGAAGCACATTATTGAGTTACCTTGTGTAGGAAATGTGAACGTGAAACTCATTCATTTCCAAAGACGACTGGAGATATCCATTATAACAGGGAGGGGTGATACTTTAAGAATTTTCCTCTGCTCCAAAGCCATCAAAAAACAGATTATGAGATGTTTCTTAAAGATTACTCTGAGCAATCATCTGGTGGCCCGGGGTGTGTAAAGAGGATTTTTTTATTCTCACTGATGTGCTCAGAAAACAGTCAAGGCAGACAATAGTAAATGTTTTATTTAACCTGTTCAATAGCAAATCTTCATGGATGCAATCAACGCGGACTTCGACCGAGCCACGGGCTTTGTGCTGGTGACGTGAACGGAACGACAACTAATTAGGAAGAGACCCGAAGCTTGTGTTGTTGACCAACACAAACAGAGGAGTATTGTGTCTTTGCATCAGGTGATAAAGAGTCACTCACCACAATTAAAATGATAAGGAGCAAGAAATTTGAAACTACCCTCAGGAGTTACCAGACAAGGTCACAGCCTCGTCCCCATTTTTTCCCTTCTTTGTATTTTCCTGCAGTCTGGATGCCCTGTGGCACCATGCTGCCTCTCACGGGTCAATTTTGGTACAATGACAGATATTTTGCTTGGAGCAGATTTTTGTGGTCATCACGACACACTGTGAGACACGAACTTATATGATTTTTTTTATATATATATATATATATATATATGTTAAGACCCGAAAGCTCCTAACCATGCATGGAGGGTTCCATCCCAAATCCAGCACCCTGA